AAAACTCCCAATGAAGGCTCTAGATTCAGAAAACCGGTTTCGTTTGGCAACCGGAGCCGTAGGAATTGTAGAAAACGGTTCTCGAGCTAGCCCAACCGTTTCATAAATGTATTAACTGTCTTTCGAGACAGCTCGGGCTGGGTTCCTGAGGATAATTACTCAACTCCTGAAAATGAGAGCAAATTTAGTTTATGATAAAACCTATTGAACTACTGCGATGGTCTCCGTAAAACAGGCTTAAAACGTCGATGACACTCGACAACTCTACTGAGTTATTAATCAGGTTGATGGTAGGACCTCCCCACGGAGTTACCGTTCGCCATGTGGTTGGCGGCTGTTAAGACCAGCCCGTAACACTGCCCCTTTTCTGCACTGGTGTGCGTGACTACAGGACGGTAACTTGCGAAGCTGAAATCCAGGCCAGACCTAGGTGCACTCAGGACGACCAGAAGCAGGCCTGGCGCGGGGGCTGGAGTAGCTAGATGACCTGCTATGCGCACGATGGAAAGGCTTGTATCTGACTCCAACTCAGTTAGAGTACCATAGAGGCCACATTGAGCAGAAGCCATTGCGGCCTGACCCTCCGTCTTGGGAGGATGACTGCATTGCCCTGTCAGTTGGCGGCCTTCGAAGCTTCGACTTTTAGCGTATTGAATTGTAGGATAGTGAGAGATGCGCTGAAGTGCCTCCGGGGATGGATTCTGCGGCGCCGGCCCAATATGATGAAATTCAGACGAACAGAAGTGTGGTTCACCTGATCATTACACTGAGCTGACGTACAAATGATTATATACTTATCAATTTCACTAGTTTTAACAGCGTTGTCAGGTGAATTCGAGTCAACCGGCTCGCACACCACGAATACCCTCAAAATCAAGTTGAAAATATACTTGTCCTAGGACGCTGGGCGTTTGAAATTTTGTAAATATTAGGCAGAAACTGGTGAAGTTCAGCTTTCGGATGTGCCCTGAAAAGCCTTGACTTACTCTAAGGTTGCGCAGTAATTTCAGGGAAATTTAACCAAGACATCGGCTTAGCAGATCGGCCACTGCCACAGGATTCTGCCAGGCTCTCCCCAATCCCCTAGCTACACTGACACAAACAACGTCAACTTCTGAGGTGTCCTCAGCTCAAACTGCTGGTTTGAAATAAAGCCCATTTTCCATTCTGTCTCTAATAGGGTGCTGGCTCTAGCAGATGCTTCCATAAGGATTGGATGTCCAGCGAAGGAATCTGACTTATTGACAATGCAGATTTGCTCGTCTTCATTGAAATGCGTCCTCGAACCACGCTTTCTTTAGCACACGACCACAGTCAACTTTGAAGTTAAACTACCCCAGGTCCGAAACGCATTAAAGCTACTAATAGTGATACCAGAAGGCTGTACGGAATTTCGGTGATAAGCCAGTCCGTTAATCTGTCTGACCAAAAGATTTTGTCGAAGTTGAGGTGTCGAAAAAACATGGTTTTCCCAAATCAGGAGTCGGAGAAGACAGATAAGCTTGAACTAACTTTTTACTGCGATAAGAGAGCAAGTTAGGGTCAGCAGTTTGTAGGGATCTAGGCCATGGGTGTGCTCAGAGCAATACAATAAGCCCGTTCAGTTTTTTTTATAGAAAGAGGTCTGATCTGAAGCCCCGACGCGCGGCCAGCTCGAGGCCTGTGCACGTGTCTGTTAGCGTAATGTGGGCGTGAATGCATAAACGTTATGCGAGAGCGTCACTGGCCGCTTGAGCAGATGCCTGGCCAACAGCAGTCTCTGGCCGCCTGGGATTAGCTGTTCCAGAGGTAGGTCAAGAATTGCAATCACGTGAACTCTTGCACAGCCTGGCGTTGGAGGTGCGCTTCAACTCCCTTACAGCCATTGACCTAAGTGAGGGGTGGACAGTGTGCTGAACGATAAAATGAATGAGTTAGTCCCGTGCAAATGCCGGTTTTAGAGCGTGTCGATGGCGACATGGAGGCAAGACTGATGTTGCGACTTGTACAGTTGGAGCACCAGCCAGAGGGT